AAGAAGAAGGGTGAGTATGAAGAAATGGGGGGAGTAAGAAGAAGAAGGGGGAGGAAGAGGAAGAAGAAGAAGGGGGGGTAAGAAGAAGAAGGGGGAGCAATAAGAAGAAGGGGGGTTAAGAAGAACAGGTGGGGGAGTAAGACGACCAAGGGGGGAAGTATGAAGAACACAGGGAGGAGGGGGGTAAGACGAACACAGGGGGTGGGAGGAGAACACATAGAGGGAGGAGTGAGAAGAGCACAGGGAGGGTGGGTGAGTGTGAGAAGAGACCGCTAGGGGAGGGTGGGGGAGAGGAGAGACCACTAAGGTGCAGGGGAGAGCTCTACGGGACAGAAGGGGCAGCTCTATAGGACAGGGGCCAAGACAGGGAGTTCTTTCACACAACGCGTGCGCACACACACACACACACACACACACACACAATGCATCCCTATACATACACAGAAACACAACATGCTTCCCTTACACACAGAGAAACACACAATGCATCCATTACACACACACACACAATGCAACCCTTACACACAAAGACAATGCATCCTTTGCACACATACACAGAAACAGACAATGCAAACCCGTACACACATATGCAAACACACACACTTCTTTTCTTACATACACACAGAAACACAATGCATCTCTTACACTCAATGCACACACATACAGACAAACACCTTGCATCCCTTATGCATACAAACACAGATTCACACAATGCATCCCTTACACACAACCAGAAACACATAATACATCCCTTATACACAAATACACACTGCTTCCACTACACACAAACACACTACATCACCTGCACAAACTGGTAACCCTATACACTACATACCATAAGCACACATATTAGATCCTCTACAATAACACATAACACATCCCCTACACACTCCACTCCCTGTGAGCGAACTCATGGGTGGGTGGAACTTATGAGTGGGCCTTATGGGCATACTCACCGTCAGGCCCTGGGGCCCAGACCTTGAGCTGTGTAAGGGGCCCCAAAAAATGGAGCTGCTTCCAATTCTCCCAGAACATTGAATTTTGTGACCACAGCTGCAAACAGCCTCCAGAGATCCTGTTCTACACCAGACCAGTGGAGCCAAACTGCAGCCCATCATCATCCTCATCTGCTTGTAAGTAGGCAATCTAGTATATTATTAGTGACACTAATCTATAATGTACCTCACATTAAAGGGACACTATAGCTTAATGAAGTGGTTCTGGTGTCTATAGCTGGTCCCTGCAGGCTTTTTAATGTAAACACACACTGTGTGCAGCACTGGCGTTAGTTCATATGGGTGGGGCATTGTGATGTCACATGGGGGGGCAGCAAATTTTTATTTTGTCTAGGGCGGCAAAAATCCTTGCACCGGCACTGATCCTGGGCAGGTGCACCAGTCTACTGGTGACCCACAGGAGGGGAGTGCACTGATTGCACTGCACTCTCCTCCTGTCCAGCCCCATCTTTACCGCAGTGCAAGTGCCCTCTGCCCCTAATTTACAGTGGCTCACACTCACAACAAGCAGTGCCTGGAGCCGTGAAGGAGCGGGTATGGCAAAGAGCTACTGATTAGCATAACATCAATATCCGATATAAAACCAGGAAAAGGTGGGCATGGATGGTGAACTGATTTGGTGGTGCAATGGGCCACTTGACTGGTTTTGCCCCCCAGGCCTAAGGCTGCCAGCCCTCCCCTGGTCACATTTGCTGATCATCACTTAATCAAGGGCATTTGATTAAAAGCACCTGTCTGCTACTTAATTCTTATGGAAGCACTAAAGGGTGTTCTTAGTTTTTCACATATAGCTTCTCCATTTTTACTTTATTTTTGATCAATAAATTATGACACTATGTAGTATGCCACGTGTTGTTCATCTGAGCTTGTATTTACCTAATTTCAAGACAAGGAGCAGATGATTATAAAAACCACAGAATTCAAAAAGGATGCACTTTCTTTTTCCCATGACTTTATACATCTATTTGTGCTTGTGTGCACATTGTACTTAAGGGAATATTCCCTCTAAAATACTTCTTTGACCGATCTTGAATTTAAGTGTTATGAATACAACAAACATTTTGTTGTGCAAGCATTAGGGAATGGAGTGTACAGCAATGCCTTGTATAAAATAACATATTTTTTAGTTAAGACAGCCTTTTATGTCAACCTTTTTTATTCTATATCTTCATAGTTTAGTCTAATCCCATGAAACAACGGAAATGTACGTCTTCTATAAACGATTGAATTATTAAGGGATATTCTGAGAAAAAGATGTCCAATAGTTATTTTTCAATAGAAATGTGTATTGTGCCAAAGGACTTAGATTAAATGTGTTTTGATGTTTACATATAGAATATAAATATATTTCATGGTTTTATTTTCTGAAAGAAAGCTGCTTCTCCCATCTCTGAAACATTGCCATGAATATTTCCATTATTTGATGCAGATGAATACTTCCAGCTCTTTCCTATCAGGTTTTAAAGAGGGTTCAGCTGTGAACTTGAACTCTGTTTCCCACTCTATGTAATGATGTTGTGAATGAAATGGAAATCCAAGACCTGGTCCTGCTATAGTCTACAATAGGCATGGATAAATCACACAGCAGTGTTCAGTTAATAAACAGTGAATTGAAAAACAAATTGCAAAATTTTGGCAAAAAGGACCACACTTTGAGTATGGAGTCAGAATTAGGTTGTCCAGGGCTCCAGGCAGGATTCCAGATTGGACAACCTCTACTAGAGCTTTGGGCTCTGTTTTGTGAGCATTATGTGTGTTATCTGAGCTTTGTATGGTATGTGTTTGGGAGAGACTTAGTGCTGTTTATGTTAGTGCTTGTAGTGTGTGGAGGAGACCAAGATCTGTATGTGGTAGGTATGTTGAGTGTGTATATGTGTGTTGGTTGAGATTTGTATGTGTGTTGGTTGGATTTGTGTGTGGAGAAGTCTAAGTATTGTGTGGGTAGGGGAGTCTAAGTGTGCGCCTAGGGTTTGAATCTGTTTGTGTGGGAAAGAGGGAATCCCTGGTGGTCTATTGGTGAATGTGGCTGCAGTGCTCTGAGTCATTAAGGAGCACAGGTGACCAGGAGGGTGCATTTAAAGTTTTATGCACCCAATATTGGTGCAGACCACAGAGTTGCCTTAAACAGGTGAGCGGGGCACAAGGCCAAGCAAGAAAATCTTTTGATCTCCCTGCAAACTCAGTGTGGCAGCCACCCTGCTAGAACTGGAACTCTTGGCCCCTGTCTAATCATGAGAGTAAAGTTCCTTTTAAAGTATGGGAGCATCAGTGGTTTTTCCTCTACCCTCTCCCAACCATGGGAGGTGAGACGTTAACAATGTTCCAGAGTGGGACACCTGGTTCTTCCTCCATACATTGTTGTGTTTGATAGGGATGTATATTTTGGGAGCAAGCTAGACGTTTCTATTTCATTTACCCAATCTCCCTCCTATCTGATGTAACATGCAAGGTTCCCAATACTTTTGGTCCGAATTAACCCTACCAAGGGCCCTGAAGGATCCATTGGACCCAGGCAGCACTTTGTAGGGTGGCAGTGCAGCTGTTTTATTTTGAAGCCACATATTTTTGGGAGGTTTGTGCAGGCACCATAATGTTGGAAATGTTTGCAGTCTGGCTAGGTGTATTTTCTTTTAAATTGTGGTTGCATCGAAGCCAAACTGGAAAAATGACCATGTCCTAACTGTCTTGCTCACTCACATTGGTGGTAGATAGGATGGAGCTCGTGTTGGTCTCTGCAAGGATATATCTGCATAGGTGATATTTTTCACAGTTTATATTTATATGACACTGGGAGGCACATGGTGTTTGCTGAAACTGATGATGCAGCACCCATTCGGCAGTCAGCGCTAATGGACCACCAGGGCAGGCAGCCAAAATCTTGAGCATACCTTTCTGGTTAAGAGGAGGGGATGTGAATTTGTGAAATTGAAGTGTATGGAATGATAGAGGGTGATATGAAGTTTAAGAAAGGTAATCAGGAGTTGTGGAAGAGATAGGAAAAATTGAGTCATAATTGGAGTAGAGGAGAATAAGGAAATTGGTAGTTTTAGAGAAGGATATGGATTTTGGGGGATTGGATTGTGGAGGTGCATTGGGATATGAAGCTATGGCGAAGGCAAGAGATAAATGGCTGTGGAGGAGGAAAGAAATATTTTATTGGGGACTGGGATATGAAGATGGGGTCAAACGAGAAAAATTAGCAATGCAAATACAATTCTGGACTCACTAATCCTTGGCTCACCCCATTAGACAGGCTATGGATTTTTCTAAACATGGGGGAACTGAAATAGAACTTTATTAGGTTATTGGAATGAGGATGCACAAGTAAAGAGGAAATTGAATCAGTTGGAGGTGTTCCAAAATGGCGCTGGAAAGCAACCAGCCAAAACTGTGCGATCATGTGATCACGGAAGTTATCTGATGTTGGTGGAACACATCCAAGATGACGCTGGAACACATACCTGCGTTTCGAGAGAGGTATCAAATTGCATATCATGAACAGCTGAAATTGGAAGGGGGAGCCCAGGAAGACATCTAAAGTGGGGGAGTTTCATCCAATGAAGTGAAGATTATGGAAAATGCCCACTGGGCCACCAATGGACTTTGAGGGTAGCCCTATATAAGGACAGGGGAAAGATAAGATTTGTTATGCTGCTTTTTTCCTCTGGCACTATTGCACTTTGATTTTATTTATTTAATTGTGTCTCTGAAGAAGTTAACTTAGGTGGAAGAAACACGTTGGACTTATTTTACTCCTTTTTATTTTATGTCTTTTTTTCTGTGCAATAAAATACACATATTTTTACAAAGGTAGCTTCTTATCTTACTGCTGAGCCCCCGGATGTACCGCTGGTGTAAAGGAGGCAAGGAAGGTTTTAGCACCCCAGCCTAAATCAGGGGAGGCACCCCAAGGCACAAAACTTCATAAAATCTTGTGTGTACATCTACAGCACAAAATTTATTTATGTTTTGACGTAATTCACCATGTACCATTTGTTTATCCCTACTTTAGATACATAGCTGAATCCCAAATTTATTTTTCTATCCATATAACGGAGTGGAAAGCTTATTTTAATAGTAAGAGTGAGTTCACAATGAAGACTCTTCTGTCCTTGTACCCAGACAGCACAATGTCTTGTGTCTGACCACCAAGAAACATTCTAGAGTTTGTCCAACTCTTCAAGTAGTTATGTGAATCCATAATCCCTTCATTCCTCGTAACATTTAATGAAACAAAATGATGTCTCACATAGTATTTTACTAAATCTTCCTCTCTAAATTATGAATAAATTGCTAATTAAAGCAAAATGTTGTCTATGGGAAAATATAGGTGTTATGTAATTGACTAATAAAGCAAGTCCGTCAAATTATCTTCTTTGTAATGATATAGGGAGACAAAGAATGAAAAGCAATTTTTTTTATCAAGTAGTTTTGTCTAATTTTTCTGCTTACGTCCGCAAAGCATTGTTTTTCCATCTTCTCAGCCTACATAAGCATTACTTTTTGCTATTCATAATTCAGAGCTCATGTTGTTTCCCTTCGTTGATCTGTGGTATCTGCTAGTAATGCAAAGGTCTATAAAGTCCTTATAAAATCAAATCTGCATAGCTTTAGCCTGCACTGCCAAGGTACATTTGGGAATAAAGGATTCTTTTCTAAGTAATAAATTGGATGAACTGGGGTTTGGGATTACCTTTACAAGCAATTTGCTTGACCGAGCCTACATTTGTCTCATAATTCCCTTAAACATTTGATGTATGGTTTAGCTACTAAAATACATACATAATGCCAACAGCAAAATATTAAAAATATATATATTTGGAATGGCAAATTTTTGTTGCACTTCCATGCTTTTTGTTAAAACTATGGTGGTGTTGTAGTGGTTCGGACATGTTTTTTTCGTTTTGTTTTTTAAATAACAATAGCACACTATTCGATGTTTAAGCATAATTACGTTTTATAGCTGACCGTGTGTTTCACTTTATTTTATGACAAACGACTACTCACTGTCATAAAGGCACTTCCAGTGGGATAATTAATTTGATTTACACCAAACTGGTTTATGCCAATAATCTGCACAGTCTGCACATCACTGTCCCTTAGAGCACCTTTAGGATAAGGTTGAATAGGAGTACACAGCAACGTTGTGTGTTTTTCATTGCTCATTTTTTGCACAGCTGTTAGAATGCTTTTGACTTGATAAAGCGAGGACCTACCGAAAAACTTGTCACTACAAATTTATGTTAATCCAGCTATATAGGTGGCAAAATTTGCAATACTTTACTATTTTGCATGCAAATTAAGATTGTGAATTCATCCGAAATTCTGCAAGATGTATATCTATAGCAATTAAAAATTACAAATACTTATCATTTTAAATAAAAATTTTTACCTAAACACCACATTCCACAGGTTAGGCAACACACAAACCCCCCCCCTCACCCCCACCTCCCCACGTGTTGATTGCATTATACACTTAGACAACCAAGGACTAACATTAGCAGAATGACCAGTGTGTATGGGTTGCAAAATGATGCATGCAACAAAAAGATTGTTGATATATGATAAAAACCAGAAGAGAATCATTTATGAAAAGTATTAAAAAATGCTTGGTCTGCAAAACATCATATTACAAATATAAAGTAAAAAATAAGACATTTCTATTTCTTGTCGTTAAACATAGCCTCGTAATAGATTTTTTTCTACTTAAACATAATGTGACTTTCAGAGTCATTCATTCATTAAAGGGTAAATTGAAAGTTATAAATGCAGCTTGCATAGAATATTTGTTATTTATGGGGAAAAATCATTTGTTAGACACATTAAAAATATGTACATTTTGGCACTTATATAATGCAAAAAAAAAATGACACAGAATGAATAATCTCGTGATCCTCTAGCAAAAAGGAATACTCTGAAAAATAAGAAATTAGCACTGAATCTTTTTTTTTCTATTTTTAGTCCCACTGTGTGGAAGTTACAATCACCTCTTATGAAATATAACATACACGTAAGAACCTAAGCAGCAGTGTGTGATATAGAGTTCTACTGTCTCCATATTCTGCTGGAGGAGAGAATACTGCATAGGATTGAGCAAAAAGGAATACATTAGTGTAATGGACTCATATGTTTTGCAGTACATTATAAAGCTTCATAAAGCAGATAAGAACATATTGTAAACCAAGCACAACATTTATTTGCAGTTTATTATAAAAGTTGTTTCCTATTGTGCATATTCTCTGAATGCAAGCTCATTAAGCTAAAGACAACTTTAGCTTAATGAAGCAGTATTGATGTATATATCATGCCACTGCACTCTCACTGCTCAATTCTCTGCCATTTAGGAGTTAAATCACTTTGTTTATACAGCCCATGTCACACCTCCCTGCATGTAACTTGCACAGCCTTCCTAAGCACTTCCTGTAAAGAGTCATCTAATATTTACACTTTGTTTATTGCAAATTCTGTTAACATTTGTATATCATTTCCTGCTCTATTAATAGTTTGTAGACCCTTAAGGAGTCTCCTGTATGTAATTAAAGTTCAATTTACAGAGCAGGAGATACAAACAGATAAAGTAAGTTACATCTGATTGAAAATTAAACCATTTTATTTTCATGCAGGCTGTGTAAGTCACAGCCAGGGGAGGTGTAGCTATGGTTGCATAAACAGAAACAAAACTGATTTTACTCCTAAATGGCAGATAATTGAGCAGTGAAACTTCAGAGGCATGATCTATACACATTAACTGCTTAATTAAGCTAAGTGGTTTTGGGTACTATAGTGTCCCTTTAATGCAGGGGTTCTCAACGTTAGTCCTCAGGACCCCCTACCAGTCCAGGGTTTAGGGATTACCTGGGTGTGTCTAAGGTGTTTAGAAAAAAAAACACCTTAGAGTCTAAGGTGTTTTTTTCCCTTTTTCTAAACACCTGAGACACACCCAGGTAATCCCCAAATCCTGGACTGGTAGGGGGTCCTGAGGACTGGGTTGAGAACCCCTGCTTTAATGCAACATGAATTTTACTCTACCAAGTGTAGACCCAGCAAATTTTTCAATCCTTGACATGATCTTCTTCAAACCTTTGTATACTTTGTCCCATGGAGACTGGAATGCTGTATCTAACAAAAGTCTTATGGAGCGTGGATCCTCCAAACTATCCCCATGTCACCCTTTCAGCCTTCAAATAACTCCTGTAACATAAAAGGTTATTCAGTAAAGTAAAAATTCTAAGTGAATTTCAAACTGGAAAAAATATCTAAGTCAGATATGCTTTCATTTTGGCTACTCTGGCCTTAATATTTTTAATTCACATGGAATTCTCACTTTAGTAATATCCCTGATAGTGTAGTCAAAGCCCTAACAACTCCCTAATCTTGCATGCTTCATTGTACTGTGAAGGACAAAAGAGAGGACAGTCATTTACTACAGTGCCCTCTGGTCCACCTCTCCCTCGCGGCCCCCCCTTCGGTACATAAAGGATTAATAAACCCTTTACTTACTTATCCAATTCCAGCGCTGATGTCTGTCAGTGCTGGATCGAACTACACCATCTCTAATGTCATTCGATGTGGGGGACCTAATGCGCATGTGCAATGAACACGGAGTTTGTATTGCTTTCCTTTGTTTTTCTATGAAGTTGGATGTCCTCATGCAAAGTGTAAGGACATTCAGCGTCATTTCATGGAGTCAAACTAGGTGAAACTCCAGGAAGTACCTCTGGTAAACAGCCACTAGAGGCAGTCTTAGTTCTGCAATGTAAAACATTGCCATTTTTGAGAAACCGCAATGTTTACATTGGAGAACTAAGACTGCCTCTAGTGGCTGTTTACCAGACAGCCACTAGAGGTACTTCCTGGAGTTTCACAGAGTTTGACTCCATGAAAGGACGCTG